AATGGATAGTAGATTCTGCCCTCATTTACCAATGGAAATAAAGTAAGAGCCTCTTTCTAAATGCCCAATGAGTGTAATTTTCCTCAAAGAGCTTTGTGCGCTCATAGCAAATCACTCCTGTCACCTAAGTCTTCAGACACATTTTACATGATGGCACCTCACCCAAAATTTTTCACAACAGCATATTTTTGTAACCTGGTGCTCAGCCAAATTCTTTCTTGACATGTTGGTCATATCACCAAGATCCAATGGATTGATGATAGTATTATTAACCCAATGCTGATGGAGAATGTATGTATGCACATGCCATTATGATGATGATGATGATTATTGTTATTATTACTATTATTATTAATATTTTTATTATTTTTATTATTGTCATTATGGATATTATTATTACTGCCCTTTCTAAATGCCGACTGAAATAAATCACCCTCCAATAGCTTTGTGCACTCTTAGCAAGTTATTCCCATCACTCCAGCCTCCAGCAGAAATTCTCTTGGTGGCATGTTCATGTCGCCCTGCGCCTCAGACAGATTTTTTCTTGACCTGATGGTTATTTTAACCAGATTCAAGGGGTTAGTTATTATTATTATTGTTATGATTACCATGGTTATCATTATTATTATTATTTTCATCATCATCATTATCCTCAGTGGTAATCAATATAATGATGATCATTATTATTGTTGTTATTAGTAGTAGTATTGTAGTAGTAGTAGTGTTATTGTTATTATTATCATCACCATCATCATCATCTCTTTTATTATCATCATCATTATTACTATTATAAACATGATTCTTATCATTATTGTTATTATTATTATTATTATCATTGTTATTATTATATTATTGCTTAGTTTATTATATTTTTTAAATATTATTGTTATTATTATGGATTTGTTTTATGTTATTTTTTATTGATAATTAGTATTAATGATATTAACATTGTTACTAAAACCACTGTTGTTGATATTATTTTTGTAATGACACAATATTATTAATGAGAATATTTGTATTAACAACAATAACAAGATTGTCATTGTTATTATTGTAATCATTATTTTTATTGTTATTATTTTTGTTATTATTGTTATTACTTACTTACTATTGTCATTATAATTTTCATATTATTTTCTTATATATTATGATGATTGTTGTTATCATAATTATTATTTCAATTATTAATATCATTATTGTTATTGTTATTATGATAATAATAATCATTATTATTATTAATTATTATTTATTATTATTATTAATTATTATTAATTATTATTTATTATTATTATTAATTATTATTAATTATTATTTATTTATTATTATTATTAGTTGTTGTTATTATTTATCTATTATTTTTTATTATTATGTTTTTGTTCTTATTATTGTTATAATGATTATGGTTATAAATATTGTAATTATTATTATTATTATTGTTATTATTATTATTATATTATTATTATTATTATTATTATCATCATTATCATTATTGTTATTGTTATCATCATCATGATCATCATCAGTTATCATCCATTTTTGTTATTTTCGTCATTATTTTCCTTATTATTGTTATCGTGGATATTGCAACTCTGAATGTAATTTATTTTTATTGTTATTTGCTGATTTTTTTTAGATTTTGTTGTAATTATCATTTTTACTCTCAACTCACTGCTTTTGGGGAAGGTGTGTATGCACATGGTATGCCCACAGGGAGGTTCATCTGTTCATTGTATTTACATATAGATGGCTTGTTCACTAGTGAGTCACAAGCCTGACTTATCTCACCTGTTAACCCATTTCCTTGATTTTTGGAAATATTTTATTTGATTTTATATAGCTATTTGTATTGTTAATAATGCTGCAATGATTATGATATCAGTAATGATAACCACGTTGCTATTAATAGAAAAAAAGAAATTGCTGAAAACCAAATGAGGGGAAAATTTAATGGCCTCCTTGGTGGCTGAGCACTTTTAGTGCCGTACTGAGTGCAGATACATTTCACAAAGTAGAAGTACTACAGTGAATATAGTATGTTATTATTGTTGTTGTTATTATTACTATTATTATTATTACTATTATTATTACAATTTATTATTATTATTATTATTAACTCCTTGGATCTGGATGTTTCACTGCCACTCTCATGGGTGTTTGGCTTGTGTGCAGTCATATACCTGACAAGACCTCGCTTCCCCCTTGTAATGTTATTTTCTCTTTTTCTGCATAAGCCTAATTGGTTTTAGCCTTTTTGCCATTGTTCTGTGCCTATATTTGTCATTTGTTTTTCTTTATCCAGATGGTAATAGACTGTTTTCCTTGCACAGACTCCATATCATCTCTCGATCATTGGAAATAGTGCAAAAGGCCCTTCTGAAAATGCCCACTGAATCTAGTCACCCTTCAAGAGATTTCTACACTTGTGGCGAGTCATTTCCTTCACCTCGGCCTTCAGCCAGATTTTCCCATAATGGCGTGTTCATGTACCGATCTTCTGCCAAATTTTTTTATGATGTGATGGTTACGTGATCTGGATCGTTGGGGTTGATAGCATTAATAATACTAAGATGTTTAGATTTGTTATTGTAATTATTTTTGTTATTGTAATTATTATTATTATCATTATTATTATTTATATATATTTTTTTTATTTATTATTATTATTATTTTTTTTTTTTTTTTTTTTTTTTTACTTTTATTTTTTTAATATTAACAGTAGTAATATTAGTATTAGTAGTAGTAATCACATTATTGATATTATAAGTAATATGATTATTATTAATAATATCATTATTGTTGTTCTTATTATTATCATTATCATTACCATTTATTGTCATTGCAATTATTTATTATTATTATTATTATTATTATTATTATTATTATTATTATTATTATTATTATTATTATTATTAGTTTTATTGTTGCGATTATTATCCCACCAGCGAGGGTATGTTTTTAATTGCGTTTTTTATTATTATTATAGCTATTGATATGATTATTTATTGATATTTTTATTGTTATTGTTATTTGTATTATATTTTTATTGTTATTTTATATTATTTATTATTATCATTATCATTATTATTATTATTATTATTTATTATTATTATTATTATTATTATTATTATTATTATTATTATTATTATTATTATTATTATTATTATTATTATTATTATTACTGTTATTACTATTTTTTCTATTATTACTCTCATTATGATTATTATTACCATCATTATCATCATTAGTATTGCTGTTGTTATTGTTATTATCATCATCATCATAGTCATTATTGTTAGGAGTATTGTCATTATTGTTGCTATTATCTTCATCATTTATTATTATTATAAAATATTTTTTATGAATTTTATTATTAATGATAGGATTTTTGTTATTAATATTATTATTGATTTTGTTTTGAGATTTTTAATTTCATTTTTATTGTTTTTATTGATGTTATTATTACTGTTATTATTTTTTATTGATATTATTGTAGCTATTATTATTATTATTATTATTATTATTATTATTATTATTATTATTATTATCATTATCATCATCATTTTTATTTTTGTTCATGTTCATGTTTTATGTTGTATAATCATTAACATTATAATTGTTATTGTTATTATTTTCATTTTGTTTATTCAATTGTTTATTTATTTTTGTTAATATTATTACTGTTTCTTGTAAACTTATTAGTATTATGATAATATTTCACTTTATTATTATGATGATAATGGTAATTTTCTATTATCAGTGTTATTATCATCATTATTATTGCCATGATTATTAGTATTTTGATAGTTGTTAGTTATTGTTATTGTCACTTTTTCAGGTAGGCTCTATGGTAATTTGTCATTATTGAGCATTTTATTATTATATTTGTTTACATTTTTATATTTATCATTTGAGCTTATAGTATTATTTTTTTATTGATATTTATTATTGTTGTTATCATTATTATGATTTATATTATATATTATTATATTATTATTATTATTATATTATTATATTATTATTATATCATCATTATTATTATTAGCTTATTATTATTAGTAGTAGTAGCAGTATTAGGCCTCGTCTACTCATATTGTTATTATTATTGTTATTAATATTATATTTGTTGTTGTTGTTATTATCATTATTATTGCCCTTTTTTATTATTATTATATATTATTATTATTGCCCTTTTTATTATTATTATTACTATTACAATTCTTACTATTATTGTTTTATTATTGTCATTGTTATTTTTTGTTATTATTTTATTTTATTTACTTTTTTTTTTTTTTTTGTTCTCATCACCAGTATTCTAGGCACTGACTTTGTTAGGGTTGATCTCCCGGTATAATATTGTGTGACAATCACTTCAGCACGTGAAAGATGAAATCCAAAAGTATTTGGTTATATACTCCAGCATATAACGTCAGTACTTTGTATCTGTGTATTGTATATATACTGTGATGAAATTTTGTTAAGATTACTAATATATATATGTTCTTTTCTGTTCTATGAATTACCTCTTTTTTTTTATACAACTTTCAATGGGCAGTGTTTAACCCTTTGACAGTGAGATTCCCCCTCAAGAAAGGATATCAGGGTCTTCAGTAAATCCAGCGTGTTACTACTTCAGCATCTCCAAACCAAGAGGCAGAATTAAGAATGGAACATCTACTGGACCAACGTCTCCAAGCCATCTCTCACAGTGAGGTTGTTTACGCCTGATCCATCTGACATCTAGTGCACAGGGAAAATTAAGCTTACTGCCTTGATACCTATAGGGCTACAGTGTTACAGTTTTGAGGTTGATTGTGATGTGGTTGCCAGGTTGTCTGTAGATATTTACATGATTAATTCCAGGATCTTATACTGGTGTATGCAAATCTATTATTGTGCAAAGTGGAGTTTGATGATTATGGAATTCCCAGGTTAGCTTGTAGCTTTTCATGTATTTTCAGCATTTGAGACCATATATAAATGTAGCCGAGATCTGTAATGGCTGTTCCTCTTGTCCACAGCAAATGGAAAGATTTAAAGTTGTAGAAAGAGAAACAAAGACCAAAGCATATAGTAAGGAGGGCCTTGGGGCAGCACAAAACAAGGATCCAGCCCAGCGGGAGAGAGAAGACCTAAATAATTGGCTCAGTTCCTCTATAGACACGCTAAATATTCAGGTGAGTCCCCCTCACACATTTTGCCTAAAATTTGTGTTTTTATCCTTCCTTTTTCTCTCTCTTCTTTGTCTCATCTGAATTAATAAAAAAAAGAAAAAGATGTCTAGGTCATTAATTTGGCTCATTGTTGTTATGCTTATTGATTAGGCTGTCACTGCAGGTTATATTGCTCTACGTGTCTCTTTACTTGTACTTCAGGATAGTTTAGGAAAAAAATGGAAAAGTTAAATATAAATCATCATTGACATAGGGCCATAAATAAGTCTTCAAAACACCACAGGAAATGAAAAGATTCATCATAAGGACATTTTTGTTCCTCTAGGTCATGTACTAATCTCTCTGTTATTCTGGTTATTTTTACTCTGTATTTTGATAATTTTCAAGACAAACGGAATCCTGGCATATTTCTGTTGAACTGAAAGGATGAATATTGGCATTCATGTGATATTTAGAGTAAAAAGAGAAAGAAAAGAATGAAAGAATTCACTGGTACATATCACAATTGTATTTGAAATAAATTTGTGTTTAGATGTAGTCCTGTTTAGAATGCTTTAACTTAGTAATGTACACAAAAAATGAAAGAAAATAGGTAACAGTAACTCAAATCAGACTAAGACATCTTTTGGAAAATATTCTGATTATTTTCCTATTCCTAAAAACAGAGTAAGCTTCTGTTTTTTGGTGCTGAATATTTTCTTCTTCTTACACTTCTACTTCTTCTTCTTCTTCTTTCCCGTCTTACATAGGTTTTTAAAGATAGGTCTTCCCAAAGGAGTATTTTGTCCTTGTGAGTGTTGTCTTATTTTTTAAAAATGTTTTCCAGATGGACCAATTTGAGTCAGAAATTGAATCTTTATTGGCAACGCAAAAGAAGAAGAAAATGGACAAAGAGAAGTCGGATCGAATAGAAGATCTCAAGGAATATATAGAAAGACATCAATACCACATCAAGAAGTTAGAGATTCTAATGAGAATGTTAGATAACCAGTCCATAGATTGTGACCAGGTAAGCAATGCCATAGTCCTGGCAAATTGTTTGTTGTCTGCAAAGGCACAGGATTAGTTGTTCTTGATATAACTTACAGTATCTTTGTCAGTGTTTATTTCTTTGTATGTAGATTAAAGATATACTTTTTTATAAGTGTGAGCTCCATCTGTTTTTGTTCATCCATATATTACTTGACACTCTCTACCATCAGATCAAAATGATCAAAGAAGATATCGAGTACTACATTGAGTCGTCTCAGGATCCTGACTTCAGTGAAAATCTCGGTCTTTATGATGACATCGACATGGAAGACCTGGATTATCCCACTCCTGAAATAACTGTAGGGAAAGTAAGTGAAGTACATAACCATACTAACACTTCCCACCTTTGGTTAAAAAAAAAAAAAAAAAAAAAAAAAAAAAAGTCACTGTATCTGATCGGGGGTTCCGCCAAAGGTTGGAAGAGGGGGCTTTCTTCTTAATGTGGATCATGGCAGAAGGGAAGACTTCTATAAGTTAAAAATTGGGTAATGCTCATGTAAGAGATATGGTAATGCTGTTTAAGAAGAAAACCCATTTTTATTGGTATTATTTTGCATTTTTATGTTTTTATTTTAGTTCTTAGATTGGGATTTTGGTGTGTGTGTGTGGTTTTTCCTTTTCTTTTCTTTTTCCAGATATGGATCTTACTGTTGTTTTAGTTGTTGTTGCTGTTATTTTAGATTTTATGTTGAGGAACCCCAGATACAGAAAGGGGAATGGCTTGGGTTATGTTTATTCAGTGTTTATTTCAGCATTATATTAATAAGTGTAGTCAATTTCAAGTCAGAACTTGTCGCTTCTTTTTTCTTTTCTCTTTTTGTCTAGAAGAATACAGTTGTTTTTAAGGCCTTTATATAAGATTTTACCTTGTTTACGTATCTTGGCTAAGATTCTTTCAACTTGCGGATGTGAGGAAAATTTCAAGTTACTGAAAAGTTGGGAGGGAGAGAAGTAAAGTAATTAAGTTGGATGAGATAGAATGAGATTAAGAATGAGGGAAGAGGACAGCCTTGTCTACTCTGGCAGTGAGCAGGTAAAGGCTGGTGGAAAGCAGGAGGGGCCTGGTTCGTTTGTATGTCCTGGCAGAGAAAACTTTTCAGTGGGGAAACTGAGTGACCTTTATCTTGGTTTCTTGAACGGCAAAGTTCAAACAAGTCGAGTTAACTTTTGCCTCTTCGCCCATTGACTCCTGCTTGCCAATTTCAATCCCAGTTTGAATGCAGACTAAACTTGGGGTGATCATTTTATTAAGTTTGTTATGAATGATTGCGCATCTTTAATGGGGGGAGGAGGGATTACCAAATGAATTAAGAAAAAAGAAGACATTTTCAGGTTATTTGTTTCACACTTACATATTGATTGAGGTCATCAGAATTCAGTACACTGAGTCATTCCCCTCTCTTTTGTTGTTATTGTCGTTATTTATTTAGTTTTTTTGAATGGTCATATCAGGTTGCATTTGTGTATTATTGTTGATTTGTGTTTATTGTAACTAACACTACTAATGCAAATTATTAGATTTTAGGTTTTATATGTTGTAAGTTGAATCACTATTGAATCTTCTGTTTGTATAGATTAAAGTTCTCTGTTCTCAGATTCAAAGAGAATTAAATTTTATATTCCAGCTTAGATGTAATCATTTTTCAATTCTCTCTCTCTCTCTCTCTCTCTCTCTCTCTCTCTCTCTCTCTCTCTCTCTCTCTCTCTCTCTCTCTCTCTCTCTCTCTCTCTCTCTCTCTCTTTCTTTCTTTCTTTCTCTCTCTCTCTCTCTCTCTCTCTCTCTCTCTCTCTCTCTCTCTCTCTCTCTCTCTCTCTCTCTCTCTCTCTCTCTCTCTCTCTCTCTCTCTTTCTCTCTCTCTTCCTTTTTCTCTCTCTCTTTTTTCTCTCTCTCTTCTCTCTTCTCTTCTCTTCTCTCTCTCTCTCTCTCTCTCTCTCTCTCTCTTTCTTTTTCTTCTCTCTTTTCTTTTTCTCTCTCTCTTTCTTTTCTCTTCTCTCTTTCTTTTTCTCTCTTCTCTTCTTTTTCTCTCTCTCTTTTCTTTTTCTCTCTCTCTTTCTTTCTCTCTCTCTCTTTCTTTTCTCTCTCTCTCTCTTTCTCTCTCTTTCTTTTTTCTCTCTCTCTTTTTCTCTCTCTCTTCTTTTCTCTCTCTCTCTTCTCTTTTCTCTCTCTCTCTTCTTTTTCTCTCTCTTCTTTTCTCTCTTCTCTTTCTCTCTCTCTTTTCTCTCTCTCTTTCTCTCTCTCTTTCTCTCTCTCTTTCTCCTCTCTTTCTCTCTCTCTTTCTCTCTCTCTCTCTCTCTCTTCTCTCTCTCTCTCTCTCTCTCTCTCTCTCTCTCTCTCTCTCCTCTCTCTCTCTCTCTCTCTCTCTCTCTCTCTCTCTCTCTCTCTCTCTCTCTCTCTCTCTCTCTCTCTCTCTCTCTCTCTCTCTCTCTCTCTCTCTCTCTCTCTTCTCTCTCTCTCTCTCTCTCTCTCTTTTCTTACTCCTACTTTCTCTTCTTCTCTCTCTTATTTTACTCTTACACTCTTAATCTCTTGTTCTCTCTCTTTTACTGTCTCTCTTGCTTTCTTTGTGAGAGATGAGTAAAGTCTATGGGTGGCAGTCCAAAAATTATATATGTTATTGAACTTCTCAAAGGATAAAAGAAACTAACTGATAATAAAAAGGCCACTAACTTTTGCTATTAACCCATACGATCCGGATGATGTTACGGTCCCGTCATGGAAAATTATGGGTCGAGGGCTGGATGACGTGAATTTTCCGTCATCAGGCAAAATGGCTGCAGGCTGGGTGTCACAAACTTGCTGTCACGAGCAAAGGCCAGGGTGACGGAAAAGATTGCACAAATCTCTTGGAGTGTGATTTGACTCATTTGGTACTTAGATGGGGGCTTCAGCATTATTCCCATTTCCATGCTGCACAACATATTTCTGGCCACTGTGAGCAGCGCCACAGGTTGTATTAAAATTGAAGATTATCCAAAAATAAGATGTATAACAAATAACCAAATGTTAATTTCCGCCTCCACCCTCCCCCCTTGCACTGAGAGTGAGGATATGAAGTCTGTGCAAGGAAAATAAATTATTACCAATTGGATAAAGCAAATCATATTGTAAAAGGGCAAAAAAAGCTTAAAAAGTTTACTCAAAATAACTTTGAAAAGGGGAGGCACATAGTCTTGTCACCACTCGTGTGTTCGCACACCTGGCCTTCGCGCTGCATGTCCGGGAAATTGGCTACTTATGTAACCTACTGCCCATATTTTCGGCACCATGATTTCTGTGACACAACCGGATCCAACGGGTTATGATGATATGGAAATCTAACCTTTCTCTCAACTTCAGCATTAAAAAGGTGTTATGCCCCACGTGTACTGCACGTTTTTTTTTTCTCTCTCTTTCTTCCCCTCTAAATAGCATGTGCTGGGCGGGAGTCACGACAGCACGGACGGGTCGACACCATCTTCTGCGTGCGGGTCCTCGCCTGCCCCGTCTCCTGCCACAAACCATTCCAATGACCATGACGCACCCACCACCCCTCATGACAAGAAGAGAAGTAATAAAAACGACGAGTCCAGATCGGTCAGTTCAGTGAAGGTTTGGGGATATTTGTTTTTTTGTTTTTTGTTTTTCTTGATGGTATTTGCTTTTTTATAACATAATGAGTCATGATTGCTTAATTTTGATTATTACATAACAATTTCATTGTTCTCTTCTTTCACGAAAAAATTGCTTACAAACTGATATTGAAGTATCTATGTGAATGTAAAGCTTAGTTGTTTCAAGTCCCTGATTTTTTTATTTTTTTTTTTTTTTTATTTATTTTATTTTTTTTTTTTCCAGTCAAGCCAACCTGTCAAACCTATGGTAGTGAGACCAACGACCAACAACATCAACACCAATAATAATATTAGTTCGAACAACAGCACCACCACCAGTAACAGCAGCTCTGGATCTACTACTTCCATTGTTGTGGTCAACACTAATTCATCATCAAAGGCCACACCACCTCCATCCACTCCCACAAAGCCTGTACTAGGTGAGATCAGCTGATTGCATATCATTTGTAGAATGAGAAAAATGAGTGAGAAGTGCAATGTATTATGGCATCATTTATTGCTACAGACCTGTATAACAAACTGAATAGAATAGGCATATACTGGAATTGAAATTTGCATCCCAACGTGTTCTTTAAGAGATGGAAAAAAAGATCTGCAAATACTGTAGATATTCTACTGCATGGTGTTGTGATTTATCGGGTTCACATATATTCATAGGTTTGGAGACTATTCATTAGTATATAGGGCTCATTGTCCCTCTTTTCTTTACTTTCAGCTTGTGTCATGAGTGTTTGTTCCTATCTTAAACATTAAAAACATGATGTATGATATTCTTTTCAGGTTCAACTTCTCAAACTACTCCAAACAACAGTAGCACAAGTTCAGGTACTTCCAACCACCTAATTACCACCTCACAACAAAATAGCACAGGTAAACAAGAATTCTTTATGGTTTGCAGGATACGTGTCATGTATTTTAGTTCATTTTCCATAATTGACCATGGTAAAAGGTTTTGTTCCATCCTGTTTTTTAAGGGGGAGATTTGGAAATGGATCAAGAATGAAGTCAATAGACCTTATTGATGATAAAGATACATAAGTTAAAATAAATACAATTCTAAAATTCTTTGTTTGCTAATCATTTTTTTAACATTGCAGGAAGACATTCACCAGAACCAAGTGGATTGATAAATAGTGGTATTGTGAACAACAACAGTGGGAGTGGAAGCAACAGTAGCAGTAGTAGCAGCTGCAGCAACAGCAGTAGCAGCAGTGGCAACTCTGTATCGAACAGTACAGGTAGTGGGAGTAGCAGCAGCAGCAGTAGCAGCAGCAGCAGTAGTACCAGCAGCAGCAGTGGCAGCAGCAACAATAGCAGCAGCAGTACCAGCAGCAACAGCAGCAGTAATGGTCTCAGTAGTGGGGTAAGCAGCAGCGTGAGTGTGACGTCACCGCAGGGTAGTCTGGCAGGCAGTGCAACCACTACACCAGCATTACCTTCAGGGGCACCAACGCCATCTGCAGCTCCCACACATCAAGGGCACACACCAGCTATGGTATATAATGTTTATCTTGGTAAACTAAGTTCAGATTGTAGTTACAGTTTCTGTTTAGTTATAATTCTTTAGCCTTCAGTATTTTAAAGCTGAAATTATTTACTTTGAACTTTTAAATTTTTGTTATAACTTACATAATTTTCTTTCTAACATGTAAAAAAAAAAAAGAACGAAAAAAAAAGTAAATTTAATTCTTGCCTTTTGATGGATCAGAAAGATCGGGTCAAGTTTACTAAGGTTGGGGAAAGAAAATCCAGTGGTAAGGACAAGATGTTATCAGCTGAAATGTGTTAGATCCAGGTGGCACAGTAATCACTAAGAGGAGGAAAATCATTATACTAGGGACCTGTGAAACCTTTTGTCCATTATCTTTTATCTGTTGATTTATTCATGTTTTCAAGTTTTTGTTAGTTTTCATTCGCAATTAATTGATTATCTTTATAGTTTAAAAGATTGGAAGTGTCACTCACATATTATTTATTTTCTATTAAATTACCTAAAAGGTTTCAAGTACAATACTTCCAAGTATTGAAATCCCAAATGTAAGTTGGAGTTGCTGTCCAAAAATGTGGTCACTGTTTTATGTCATGCAAATATTTCACAGGCATGTGTGTATGGCACACTCATGTCTAAAATATTCATGGCTTGAATTGATGTTTTTTGTGTTTTTGTTCATATATTTTGTTTGATTGTTTTGAATGAAATGAACTTGTAATAACCTTTGTTTTTTGTGTGATGATGCAGTTATATATGCTTGATTGAAAATAGAGTTGAGAACTTTGTGACATGTTGATCTTATTACAGTCAAATTGATTTCCTAATTTAAGGAAATTTTGGTTCTTTCAGAATGCTTCAGACACTGCAGTATCTTTAAAAGCCATAGCGCAGAAGAAAGTCAATGAAGTTAATTCTTCGTCAATAACGCCAACAGGTCAGTTCATAATGTTTGGTTCATTGTGCTGTATGTTTTTTTTTTTTTTTTTTTTTTTACATTTTCCTCATACCTTGAAGAGGTCATCTTTTTTATCATTGAGATCCTCTTTTTGTCTCTTTTTTATATTTAGAAAATAGTTTTTAAAATCTAGAATTACCCTTTAAACTATTTTTGCAAATGTATATAGTAAACAAGATATTTGGCTGCTGTTGCTTTTTATATGGCTAGCAGTAGAACAATAATTTTGAAGCCAACAGCAGAATTTTTGAAAAGCTAGTGCATACTTAAGTAGCCCATACGACTGAAGCCCCGCAGCATTTCACTACCCCCATTCCTATGAGACTCGTCTGCCTCACTTCCAGTCTTAGAAAGCAGCAGCTGCCCCGTCAGCAACACCACCACGAGCAGCACCAACACCAATGCCAACAACAACAACAATAACAACAGTTCCAGCACGAGGACCATCACTGAGAAGTCCACAACGACCTGCGAGGCCAACATCCCTCCCTTATTGGGTGTTGCTCCCCTCGGTCCTGCCAAGCTGACCGTTGAGCACGACCTGCAGTTCAAGATGCTCCAGGCGGCCTATTACCATATGCCTCACCCGTCCGACTCGGAGAGACTGAGAGTGCACTTGCCGCGCCAGCCTTGCCAGACGCCGCTCTACTATCCACAGGTGAGCGGCTCTGACTTGCCGGTACGCATATGTGTGGATTTTTAGTCCTCTTATTTTTAGTTGTAGGCATTTGTTGTTGTTGTGTTTAGTGTTTTTGTTTTTAAATTATTATTTTTATTGTTTATATTTATGTTTATTTTTGTATTTTTATTTACACAAATGGTCATAGTTTTTTAACAATTTTCATTATCATTATATAATTTTTCATTGTGATCCCATTATTTGTTTTAAATATACCATTTTTGTTGTTTTGATTATTATTATTATTATTGTTATTATTATTATTATTATTATTATTATTATTATTATTATTATTATTATTTATTATTATTATTATTATAATTATTATTATTATTACATCATTGTTTTTATGAATAATATTATTATTGTTATTATTATTATTATTATTATTATTATTATTATTATTATTATCATTATTATTATTATTATTATTATTATTATTATTATTATTATTATTATTGCTATTGTTTTGTTATTGATATAGTTATTCTTTTTACTATTATTATTTTTATTACCATTATCATCTTTGTTTTTATTATTATTATAATTATTATTGTTATTATGATTACTATTTTTATTTTTCTTATCATTTTTTATTGTTGTTTTATTATTATTATTATTATTATTAGTGTTGATATTTTTGTTGTTATCATCATCATTATTTCTAGAATTTATTGTATCTATTAATATTCTTATTATTATTTTCTATGTTATTAGCATCAGCAGTATTGCTGTTATTATCATTATTGATTTTGTCAAATTTGGCAATACCATTTTCATTTGTAAGGAAATTTTTTATTCAGTTTTTGCTAATATTACATTTTTTTCTATCATTGCTATTGATAATGTTTTTTTTTTTATGTTTGTTTTTTTTATATATTTTTATTTTATTTTATTTATTTTTTTCTTTCTTTGTAAAAAAACTTGCATAGACTTCATTGACTCATAGCCTACGGATGACATGGTGTTCATGTTATGGGTGACTGGGTCAAGGCACCGGGTAATGTGTTATTCACATCATGGCCAACTTTATCACGACTCTGGGCGATGGATCATTTACGTCATGTTGCAGTGATGTATGCATTACATTTTAAGCCGTTCTCATGTCGACCCCACATCCCTGGAGCATTGTTTGAGGGAGTTTTGTATAAAGAGCATATGAATAGATCATTCACCTGCTAGGCATGGAAGATCCCATGCACCAAAATGTGGCACCATCTTGCTGCTTATGTGGACCTGTAACCTTCACACTAGTTTATGAGATTAGTCTCATCATGTCAGCTACTCACATTGTCTTTTGGTGCTGTGCCAGTGCAACTCTCGAAGTATGACACACAAAAGTGAAGTACTGACACCTTGGGGGTGGTAGTCTTGTATTTCACTGCATACAGTTTCTGAGTTTGTGAAAATGAGATTTGCAAGTAAAAAAAAAAAAAAAAAAATCCCCCTTCTATAAAATCACATTCAGTCTTGTATACAGAGTACAACATACCTTGTTTATTGAAATGGACTGTAATGTACATAATCAGGCTACTACAGATTCAATTTAGCAATGAAAATGCATATCATTCATCTCTGAATATGCAAAAACATTAAAATCATGTTTTGCCATGTAAGTGATATAAAAAGAATTGCATCACTATGTTGGTATGCACTGGCTGCGTCTGAAAAAGGCCTCCGAGACAGGCCCAAGTCAGGCATGCATACTCCATGGAGAGAAGGCCAAATGAACCCCTTATTCTCCCGGAGGTGATGGGTTAACTTCATGCTGCTGGGTACGCTGTAGTTTTATTTGGTGGATTTTGTTTACACACAGATGGCACCACATGTGCTGTCACCAAGGATTCATTTAGTAGACCCAACCTAGCCTCACCTGATTTTCCCGTATCTTGAATTTTTGTGAATTCTTAAAACTTCTTGTGTTATTGATATGTATGATGATGATATTATTATTATTGGCAATGTTATTATCATGTCATTGTAATAGTAATGTCAATGAAATATTTAAATGAATCTCCATAAATCAAGGAAAAGAGAAAACAGGTGAGATAGGCAGGACTTCTGATCGACTCCTTGGTGACTAAACTCTGTGGATATGGACTTCGCATAAACATGCATACCATCCCCAGTTGTTATGGGTTAAAAAGTTAATTATAGAAGTGAATGCAAAACTTATTATACATCGTGTTTAATTATAAAGGATAAATCTAGATAGGAAATGTAAATTAACTTGTGTCAAGCTATCACCACTGCCAGTATTGTCAACACTACTAGGGCACGTGGTACTAAGCCACCACCAGCTTACCACTACCTACGCCACGCCCCCACGGTCTCTTCTCTCTGCTTCCACTCACCTCCCTCCTCCCTCCTCTCTTCTCCTCCTCTCTTATCTCTCCATCTCTTCTCCTCTTTACATCCTCCTCTCCTCTCCTATCTGTTCCTCCTCATCCTCCCTTTCTTCTTGTCCTCCTCACCTCTTCCCTTCTCCTTCTCTTCCTCCTTCCTCCTTCCCTTCTCAACTTCCTCTCTTCCTTTCTTCTCTTCTTCATCTTAACTTTCTTCTTCTTCTTCTTTCTTCTTTCTCTCTCTCCTTCTTCCTCCTCCTCCTCCTCTCAACTCCTCCTCCTCCTTCTCCTCCTCCTCCTCCTCCTCCTCCTCCTCCTCCTCCTCCTCCTCCTCCTCCTCCTCCTCCTCCTCCTCCTCTCTAACTACTACAAGAAATGCCATCTATCCTATACAGTATACATTATCTGTATTTTGACTACTGGTTAATACTAGTTATCTTAGTTCTGATGTTTTTTTCCTGCAAATACATTTTTCCCACTTAACAATTTTGGCCTAACCCTTTGATTGGGAAATCATTCAGTGGCTGTGGTGGACTGAGTCACTGATAGCACTACGTAATGATTTATTGTGCCACTTGACACTGTGCCAAAAATTTGCTGTCGAGCATTTCTACTCGGAAACTATAGAAACAGTCTGTCTGATCTTTGCTGTGTGCAGCTGTCCCAGCCAGCCTGCCATAGGGAGCTCCAGCATGCTAGCACAGGAGCGAGCATGACGACTAGAGCCATCCCCGGCACAAAGCCAAAATATCCACTGTTGTTTATAGCTGTTCTTGTTGACATGGGGTTTGCAAAATCAGCTACAAGCTATTAGGTGCCTAATGTGCTTGAAGTACAGAACAAGCCTGGCACAAATGACGAAAAGTGCGGATGTGTACCACAAAGCCACTTTACTAACTAGTAGCTAATTTTTGATACTGCATTTAAGGAGATCGTCCCGGGAGGCTTGGGGTGGGGGGAGTGAAAATTTAGGGGTCAAAATTTTGAGTGCATATTGTTAATAAGAATGAGGAAACTACCAAACCGCCATTAAAGTCTAGCTACAGTTAGGTCTTGGGCGGCGCACGTGAGACCCGCCAACACATGGGGAGGTACACCGCTAATGTGCACCTGGGTACACTTGTGTTGACTTTTGCTTGTTGCAATCTTGCATACCTTTGTTGATTATGACATTGCACATAAATATGACTTAGTGAATGTTCAAAGAACACTTTTATACCAATATCAGAAAAAAATAATGTCACATTGGTTTAAGATGAAATATTTTGTGAAATCTATCTTTAAAAAAAGAAGTAAGTTTTGTGTACTATTACGCATGAAATATTACTTATGAAGCATGAAGCACTAATGTTTGAAAATAGCCGTATAAATAATGGTTAGAATATTTCGGATTGACTTTGCTCAACCATTGGTACTTTTTAGCATTGTTAAATTTAATTTGATTTGAAATTGGTCGTTTCCACTGTAAAGAACACTTCAATACAAAGAGCACCTAGAAGTCAGATCTTTGAACTTCAGAGATATAAATGAGATACCGATTATTTCACATTGAAGATGATAGTACACAGTAATACTCACTCTGAAATGAAAACTCTATGGAATTTTGAACTTATTTGTATATGCAGTCTTTGTCTAGAGTTGAAACAGCTGTTGAACCCTTATCCTGTGTTTCGGATTTAAAAATATCATGTGTAGATGTTACCGTAGGTCTTAAGTACCATAAATACACAAATATCGAACCACATCTACACGTCTGATGATTTTATGCACTTTTTAGCAATGATAATGAGTGCAAATGTCTAAACACCAACTCTACAGTCGTTTCTTCTTGAAAACTGTTACTTATGATTATAAATGCCCAAGAAAAAAAAGAAGCTGGTTTGGATTAGTTGTCTCTGTAGTTTGATGCATTTATTAAACTTTTCAGATAGAAATATCTACTTTTGCATTTGAAGATTAAAAACAAACAAAATGAGGCATACCTTTACAGAATATTGTCCCTATTGAAAATGATAATTATGATTGACTCGGTAATCATTGCATTGCAAAGTACACGAAATAAGCTTTTTTATATATATATAACATCATTAGATTTAGCAAAAAATATCAGATGACTTGGCAAGCGTTTAAAATTCCCAATGTTTTTTCTCCAACTTTCTTTTTCACAACCTTTGGTACATCTCAGGGGTTGTAATTTTTGTTCGATTCAAACAGTTTGTTGCTTTCGCTAGAGCATTGGAATCCTGAGGCTGATTTTTGGAATGAATAAAAAAATATTATGTAAAACTGAAAAAAGTGACCAAAAACAGTACTCTATAGCAGATAGTTCCCCACCCCACCCCCCAAATAAGTTAAGTAGAGTAGGGTTAAGTAGAAAGGAAATGAGGTTAAAAGCCTACTTTTAAGACTTTTACTACTGCAGAGACTTTAGGCATGGCCAAACAAGTGAACAGCAAATACATCTTAAAGTAGGTTTTAAATGTGCATGACATGGGCATACATGCTACCTGTCAGTAATGGTACAGGGAATACATGTAGGTGACTTGTCCACTGTAAATTTGTCTATTTATTTTGGTTTACACGAAAATGTCACTTGAAGCAGTTAGTCACTGAGGAGTCAAAAGTCTTTTTATT